TTATGATTATTGGTATTCATATTCCACTAAAGGTTAGTTGGGAGTAGTGGTGTGGGACAAATGATATTGATTCGGATGGACTATCTTTCATACTCCATTTTCAAGAACCATTTTCAGATTGGTAGGGTTATTTGGATAAACCGAGGATGGTTAGTGAAGATGGGGCCTGAAGAATGACCAGTTTAAGTCAATTAAAGCAATGCTCTTAGTTGTATATATATATATATATATATATATATATATATATATACAACTAAGAGCATTGCTTTAATTGACTTAAACTGGTCATTCTTCAGGCCCCANATATATACAATGTCATACGATGCGGTGCAAATAAATAGCAGTTGCATATGGGGTGAACGTACCCAGATATTTCGCATAGTAGAAAACCAACAGTATGAGCACAAACGCTTGCGTGACCAGGAAGGCCAAGATCAGATAGAAATAGCATTGGTTTCCGCACATGTTCTGATTCATGACAATTATCTGCTTGGCTCTGATTGGTTGAACGAAATTCATCGATTGCGAGAAGGGAAGTGAATGAGGGAAAACACGTGAGTGGACAGGTAGGAATCGGGGGAGACAAAGCCAAACAGCAGTAATTCACATGGAAAGCGTAGAATGACTCCAGTGTGAGTCAGTGTTTGTCAACAATAGGAAATTGTTTATACCAAATTACTCCCCAACTCTTTTGCAGACAGTCTTGTTGGTGTCCGGCTCAATAAACGTCCTATTTTTTAAGGATATCGTGTGGTTTGCCAGTCTAATTCTCAATTCCTTGATTGCATTCAGTTGATCCTGCTCACAGTACGCGTCAGACCATTTATTAGTGTATGCGCCGAAACAAATTTGCATCGTTGAAAGAAATAGCATACTGGTCATGAACTCTTACGTTTATTCCATCTGAATGAACAAATGAAGGTAGTGCAGGCTGTGGAAACTCCCTAATCCTCGGAATAAAAAGATTAAGCGAACTAACTGTGCGTGTTCTGACATTTATCCCTAGCCCTGATGAACTTTTCATGTTCATCAGCCCCTTTATCGAAATTACACACCACATCCTGGTAGAGTTCCCGCAAGTGGAAGGAGGGTTATGCATAGAGATACGAGTGGAACGGAAACAGGCGAGACAAGTTACGAGAGGAATATGTGAGTGACTGAAGCATTGCATTCGAATTGTTCTTAGCCGTGACAAGGTAAAGAGAAAAGCGGCATAGTTGGAGAATGTCAGACTCAAGTTCTAATCCTCTACANCCCCCCCCCCCCCAAACCGAATAAAACAACTGATTGAAGTTTCTGAACTCAATGGTCCAGAAGCCCAAAACCATTCGTCTAGGTTTAGTGATAAACACTCATGTATGACTGATCCCGATTGAATCATTAATCACAAAACTTATTGATGGTCAAATCAACTGTTGTAATAAATTTGCCAACAACATACACGAAGATCAGCTTCATCCATTGCATCCTGATCCATCCTATCCGTCCACATGCTCCTCCTTTCGATATCTAAACTCCCGTATTAACATTTATAAGAAATTCGCAGGACCCTACTTGGCTTGACTACTAAGCAATAAGGAGCAGGTCGCGAGCAAACTAATTCAGAATTCGTGTGGACGTAAAACAAACTTCGGAGACAATTTTCACGCTGCATGTCTTATGACTTTGTATGTTTCATTCTAGTTCACGACCAGTGTACATTTTTACCTGAAATGTAAACGTATAAACTTACATCAGTTATACAAATAAAAAATGTGCTTGAAAACGACGTAGATCACTGGTAGTGCACGCGTAGAAAACAGGTGGTCATCTATATGGAGACCATACAAGTTTTATTATGCAATAATTAAATAACAATTGTCATTTGAAATAATTAAATAATTAATACTTATTCCGGCATGATGAAGGGAAGGAACGAAACCGTACTCTATTGGTTACGTCAAGCTGGAGCAAGTGATCGACCTCCATAGATTTTGGTTGAGACATGTGTTACGCATGTCACCAAATAGGTTGTTTGCCGAGGCAGGTAGCGGTTGGAAAAGATCAAGGGTGGTCAAACTAAGACCTGGCATGAGGGTATAAAAACCCTAACCAGGAGTCTGGGTCACATAGGTCGCGTTGGGTTCCCTGGATGGGGACCTCGGGATGATCGTAATCGATAGTTAGAGACACTGAGTGATATGGCCTAGTGTCGCAAACAGTGGCGTTCGTGCATCTTCTTAATATCAAAGTCAATTCAAGTCAAAAATCGCTTTATTCATCCTAATAGATGGATTCTCAGCTTCTTGTACTCCAAGAACATTTATCGTCGCATACAGTCACAAAAAGAGAAAAAAAAACAGCATCGTCAATTCAAAGAAATGTAGAGTAAAAAGTTTGAAAATGAACATCAATTGCGTAGGAATTTCAAAAAGCCTTCTCTAACGGATGCCTTTTGAGCCAGAAATCTCGAAAGATGGGGATGACGGACAAACGATAGGCAGTGGAACGAGCATACATCAGTTTATAACATCTTGTTCTAGAAGTGGATATGCATTGTTTAAGTTCTGTGTGTAATGGGTGAGTGGTTTCTGATAGAACATTGTTACAGAAGTTATCGCAAGAGTCAAAATATTATCGGCGATAAAGTTAAGCAAGTGCAAATAAGGAATACCGCTTGTGCGAGAAATAATTTTAATAGACCGGCGTAGAATTGTGTAATCTTTAGCTCTAAGACCGGCAAATAAAACTAGGGAGCAGTAAAAAAGATGAGTAACAACACAAGAATGTACAAATCGGGTTAGTAAATACAGTGGAACTTTCAAAGAACGCCAGCGGGTAATAAGGAAACACAACCGTCGAATCTTTACAAAAGTAGAAGTTAAGTGTAAGGTCTAGGTGAGATCTCGGTAGATAGTGACACCGAAGCATTGTAGAGAGTTTACTGGGGGAACAGCTGGTTGTCAACATAGAGTGCAGAACAATTTCTTTCAAAAGAATGTCGCCGTTCTCCTTTGGCGAGCGAAAAGGTGACATCGCTACATTTAGATGCATTGAGAGATAACTTGGAAGATGAAGACCATAAGTTTAAGGCAGATAAACTGGTTCGAAGATGTGAGAAGCGGAAATCACCTTGGAATTTGGAACCAATTGTGACATCATCAGCATACCTAATAAGAAGATCATTTGGGTTAGTGGGAAGGTCACGAATATAGAAAGAGAAAAGAAAGGGGGACAAAATTGCTCCCTAGAGCACCCCTGAGTTGACTGGTAAAGAGCCACAGGTTTTTCCAAGAAACTTTGTGAGTTGTGTTCTACCAGCAAAATAATCTTGGAGTAGAGAGAGGGCGTTATTGGACAATCCAGCACCTTGGAGTAGAGACAAAAGCCTGCTCCTGTCGACATAGTTAAAAGCGTTACAAGCGTTTGCAACATTAGTCCATTGAAATTCTCCATTTTCTGTTCGACTCTACTTTCAGTTTTCCTGTCTTTCTCCTACTTTTCATTCAAATTGGCAGCCAAAAGACAAGAACCAAAAACCGGCGCACGAAAGTGTAAGGTTATCAGTTATTCAAACTGAAACTTGCTGCGTCAAGACCAACGATTGGTTTTGTCACAGGATGTGGACTGACCCTATTTTTTGCACAACTTCCGGTATGCGGCTAGCTTTATTTGACAACAAGATTATTCGAAATCAGTTCCCACTAGCCACTTGTGAATGTCATACCGTAGCCTTAATTCACCCGGATTACATTATGTGGTTGCAGTGTTTGAGTAGGACCATATGATTTCAGCGATACGGATTGCCAAATTCAGTGGCCATAGTCAGAAAAGTGTATTTCCAAAAAACACTAATTTTTGCACTTGGGACTTCTTATAAAAATTCCGTAACTAGCATGAAATTTATGTTATATTTCAACCGCCTTCATTACCTTATTTCAACTGCAGTTTACTTGATAGGCATATCTCATTCCGTTCCAGATATATGGCCAAAATAGTTGTTTTGATTGTTTAGTACTTGAAGATGTTCCTGTGGTGGTACCACAGGAGTGGGATGTAGTCTATAAGTGTCAAATAAACTGAAGTCTGAGCTACAATTATGCCTTTATCGATGGAGTATGATTGATTTGTATCCTATTGCAGTTGCTTGAGATGTAGTTCATGGAATCTGTTGGAGCATCATGCGATGGACGCGAGCAATGGCTCGAGCGTTGATCGGCCATGACCCATGGTTATCAGCTTAGCATGACGACCCGACAGAACTTCAACGGGTGGAGGACGAACACACACACAGACGCGTATGAGCAACGTAAACAACCAATATTTCGCGTGGAACTTGGGGTGTGTGAGGCATCGTCTCCCCCGAGCTTCAACGGAAGGTTAAGAAATTTGTGCTATATGGTGGTCATCCAGACATCGCTGAGAGGCTTGAACAGTACATGGGCATGTCCGCACCGATGAGGTCAATGAGACAGCTTGAATTTATATTCGGACAACTTGAATTGCAAAAGGTTTCATCCCCTCCGGCTGAGACAAACCAACAGGTGTCACCACATCACAACAACAAACATGTGGAAATGATGTAATTCAACCGTTTGCCGAGAGAAATGTTATATCTAACGATGCTCTTCGTTCAATCCACAGATTATTCGGGATAAGATCAAATTACGGGTTCAAAATGTTCCCAAACGTTTAGGATTAAAACGCAAAGCCTTGTAATATGCGTCTGTTAGCATTCAGCATAAGCAAACAAACAAACACGCGGAGACACTGTGCTCACATGACACGATCAACCATCACACATGTGAGTCGGAATAGAATTTACAACTGGTTGATTTTCCTAACGCCAAACCACAAAGACACTAATCAAATCTACTTAGCCTGATACGAAAGTACGTTAACCTTGACAAAAACTCCTCTTCGAGGTCACTTTTTCACCTTGGTACTGACCCTTTTGGTGTTTGCATTGGGGGTGAGGGGGGTATAAAGTGCTCCAATGTTAGATGTTGTTGTTGTTGTTGTTGTTGTTATTGCCTCACTTGTTTTCCGCATCATTAATTAGTGATGTATAGACCACAAGGAGTCACATCGAGCATCGAAAAGTAAAAATAGATGGACCAAGACAAAGGGAATAGCAAATAATCCCTTTTCGAAGTGATCCAACCAACCAGAACAACACAATTGAGGTGTTTGTGTTTCCAATGTGTAACTATTCCTCCGTGATACTCTCAACGCCATTGTGAAGAAGGCAGGAATTAGATTCACGGAGTTCAGTTCAGTTTCAGTTTTTACAGGAATTAACAATATATTTTGGTTTTGATTGCCGTCTTTTGGTGGCTGCCCATTTGGATATAAACGCGGAAAACGAAGATTCCGAATGTTGAGAGCAGGGTCCCAGTGAAGACAGAGAATTCATATGGGCTGAAGTTGCAAGAATAATGAGTAGATACATGAGCGACACTGTTTGTGACACTCACCCATATAACTCTAACCCCCGGTTACCATGATCTAGGTGTCCCCATTCAAGGAGCCTAACGGGA